GACAATAGTTCATTCCCCATGGCTGAATCCCCAAATAATTGAATTCCAAAAGATAATGTCCTTTATTTCAATTTAATATTTCCAAAGCTTCATGTTTTCCTAAATCATCTAAGGTATTAGGCTAACTTACGATCTCTCAAGAGAAACTGGTAATTGACTGAATCATTTTACATAAAGTCCATTACTAGCAAGTAGATATATCACTAATACTCTTTTTTTGTATGCTCTTTGTTTATGTAGACATACTTTAGAATGTCCTCACTGAATTTTATTTCTAGACATTTCAAAGTCCCATGTAATTCTAGGGGGAGATGCAAAGCTGGGAGAAATTTTTTAAGGAGATGTACTTTTGGTCAGCTCTTAAGAGGCAGCTGAAAGTAACACTTTTGTTGTTGGTTTTTCTAAATGCTAAAATATTTTACAATATATCACATATATTATTATGGCCTTACAATTTTGCAATATGAAGTGCTGACCTTTCATCTGACTGTAGAAGAATTCATATATATCATGGGAAACTCTGCAAATGAGGATGAATTATATGGAGGTCACAAGGAGGATTAGGCTGATTAAACAAGTTTGTGGTGCCATTTTAGATGTTGTAGGGCCATGGTAGGTGCAGGCAGGACACAGGATTTACAGAATACTTGTGACTTCCTGGACTGGCAGTGGAAATCCAGGCAGGACAACCCAGGGCAATTCACATCACACCAGGTCCTGTGTTCAGACAATTGAATTTCATGCTTGATTCTGCACGTCTTTGTCTCCTTCCAGAATTCTCCCTGCCCTAAATCAGATGTCAGAAGAGTGTGATGGCTGCTTCTCCAGACATACCTATCCTTTTCTACTAACAGCACTGACTACTTCTTTCCAGGGAAGGATGAAGGTTGATACTGGAAACTTACTTGTAGATGGCTAAATTTAATGGAAATTAAAGGAAGAGGCACATCCACAGTACGTATCTATTGATGAAGAAAAATTAGAACTCCTTCAGAACCTTCAATTATCTATATTCTGCAATTCCAGTTTGAAAATTGGCAGATATCCTGGCAAGTAAAAGCTATTTTTACATTTGATATTTTAAGTTAATTTAGTGTTCAGTTTAACTGATATGTTCCGGAGCAAAATGAATATTTCTTATGAGATAGAAGCAGAAATTTGCTTCTACTCCCCTTCAGTTCTGGCTTGAAAAATCCAGTCAGGCCTGGTTAGGGAACTGTTACACTCTATTTTCTTCAATTCTGGATGTAAGCAAGCAATACAATTAGTCTGTGGACAGCAGATTCTGGTCAGGTACCAAGAAGTTTAGGTTGGTACCTTGGGAACTCAGGAATACTGATTATTCTTTTAGATTTGCATCGGGAGTACAGTATATTAATTGGTTGGACCACAAAAAAATAAGCTAATTCCTCTTTTCTCTGGCTGACAAAAATAATACTGACTGGCAGATATTATAAAAACAGGTTTTGAACATCATAGCCTGATTTAGTTTGAAACAAGAAACTAATTTAATGTAAATGGCAAATCAATTTGCTTGTTAATTCTATCCAAATTACACTCTCTTCTGACTAACACAGCACACTGCATGACTGAACCAGTTCTTCTACCTGTCTTTAAGTCAGATGAGAAATTAGTTATATTAGAAGTTATACAATAGAAGGTTAGAATCACCATATAATCTTTTATTTTGTCTAGTTTTTATTTTCTCAGCTACAAAGCCTATCTTCCTGGTTAAAGGAGACAAATTGGATATTCAGAGACCATTTGCAGAAAAAAGAAAGAAAGATAAAAAGAGATAGTAATTTCAGCTTTTTTTTTTTTCTCTGGCTGAGACTAAAAATTTAGATATTTGATGTAAGTCAGGCCATCTAAATCTACTTTATAGAGACAGACAATTCTGAGGCAGTGGGCATGATTAACTCTGGTGTTGTGTCTCCTTCTCTTTACTAACCAGGGAATGTATCTTTATATCCAGATTTATGGCTACAGATTGCCTTGGGAAGTGTGGTTTTTGCATCTTTGTAGGCCTTATACTACAGACCTTGGGATGAGTGAGGCATTAATTCAGCTGTCATTTCAACTTTTAGGGTGTCTGTCCTTAGACATGTTTCGTCTCATTTTGACTGCAACAGCTTGAGAACCAGCACTGCAGCAAAGTCATGGACTACCCAGACACTCTGGACATGAATGTCTATCTAAAAGTAAACTAGCAGTGGTAGCCTAGAACCTTTATGACTTCTTAGAAGTGGTAAATTCCTGATTGCCAGTAGGTGTAAGGGTTAATTAGAGTGGGCATTTATTAGCCTGAACATGAATGCTTTTAAATTGCACAAGCTGCAATGTTCCATCCACAGGTTGTTTCTGTGCATAGAATATTGCTTAAAAAGCAGTGGTGACTCAGTGATACTGCCTTTCATAGAAAGGATTTTCATACTGTGGAATGTGAGGAAGTGACACTGAGAAGGTTGAGATCACAAGCTGATCCCAGCAGTCCAGGGTTTTCCTTTTGATGATACCACGACAATGATAACTGCAAGGTTGGAGGCCACCAGACCACTGCAACTGAATAGCCCATATCCCAGAATTTATAGTTATATATATAGCCAAACATTTTTTTGGACACCTGTGAGGAGAGGACACATCCTCCCAATGGTTCCTTACAGTACTGTGAAATAGCCCACCCCAGCTCCACAAGTGATCTGATACAGGTGTTGTCCAGACTTCACTTCTACAGCTGGAGATTTAGAAGCAAACATTCAAGATCAGGTAGGATGGGGCTCTGATCAACCAGATCTAGTTGAAAATGTCCCTGCTCATTGCAGGAAGGTTGGACTACATGACATTTCCAGGTCCCTTCCAATCCAAACTGCTCCGTGGTTCAATGATTATTAAACATAACCATTTGGCACATGACATGAGATGTTTTTGTTACATCTCAAAGCTATAAACTCTGTCTGCATGTTCGGTTTCAGTCTCAATTCTTTTCACCTTAAATTACTCCAGTGGGCAAAATTATAAATAGCTTCTGACTTTATTTAGTTCAATGTTTATACAGTTGTGTTAAATACACACAGAAGCACACACACACACATACACACACACACAGAGTATAAGCAAGACAAACTATTATTCTTCAATACATTTTCAAGATCTGCTTGAAATACACACAGAAACGTTGAAGTTCAGCAAGCATGGGGGAAGAGTAGCAGCCTCGTGTGTGAGACAGACATGATCCTAATTAACTTCCACTGTCCATTTTTTGACAGATGCAGGAGCAAGACAATAACCATTTTATACAGATGTTACAAACAACAGCATCCTTTTCTTGATGAATGTGTTATTTCACAATTTATGATTTCTCCATAACAGTCTTTGCCACATTGTTTTGTTTAATCTCCGTTCTATAAAACACAGAACACCTCGTTGTGTACTAACTCCCACTCAGTGTTGAACTCCTTGGAAGTTACGACCATTCTGATATCCCTGCCAAAAGTAAAGCAGCTTCAAGCCTCTCAGGAACATTTTGAGACCCTTTCTCCAAAATATGGTAGACAACAAGAATTTATTCTTTGTTTAGTACTGGGCATGTTTCTGCAGCAATGGAAAGCTGCACATTGGGAACTTAAATTCTACAATTTCAGTTGTGTCTGTAAAAAACCTGCCACATTAACTCACCATACCTTGGAAGGTCCACTTGAATATAACAGAAAGGTGCATTGTTTACATTTGCTGATAGTCAGTTCACTCTTGAATTTTTTGGTCAGCTAACCTCTCACTCATTTATTTATCTGAAGTTTTCTGTGTATTTTCTTTACCTAGCAGCTACAGGACTAATGTTACTGAGTGTTTCCTTAAAAAATTACAGCTGCAAGGAGTTTACTGCACTGTTTCTCCTAGAATTGTACTCATTTTCTCCACATAATTAGGAGAGATTTCCACATGTACTCTTGAATTTTCAGAAACAAACAATGTATAATGTATGTGTACATCCAATTATATCTATTTGTGATTGATATAAATAAAATCTTAAAATTGTCAACTATACCAATGTCTACATGTCATAGACATCTGGCAGGTTCAAATTTAGCTCATAAAATAACAAAAATATGTAACTCTCTCCAAGCACTGCTGTTTTATGTTAAGGTTGGTGGAAGCAGTCTTGGATGAATCAGGGATATTTTTTGTTCCATTTTTCAAATGCCTTCCTTTCTTTCAGTGCAGAAGCTGATCATTTCTTACACTTCCAGAACCTCTGCTTTCTCCTTTGTATGCAGCTGTCACTGCTGTCACTAAAATTGCTCAAGGCTTAAGCCCTCACCTTTGTCTCTCTCTGTTCCTGTTTCCAGGACCTAAAAGACCCAGGCCAAAGACGTAGGACTGTTACATTCTATTACTTTAGGGAAAAAAAGTGGAGTCATAAGGTGCCTTGCCCTTGCTAAAATTGTAGCTTTAAAATAAATTAATGCTTCAAGCAATTAATACAGTGCTTTAGTCTGCCCAGACTCACCTAAATGAAATTTTTATTTCATTATTGGCTTGGTCCAATTTCGTGCTTGATTCATATTCAGCCTTAACAGATCTTCCAAATCAACTTCTGCTCCTGCTCAGACACTTTCACAAGATTTCTCTTTGTTTTGTGTGGGGCCGAGACTAGCAGAGGGATTTGCAGGACCATGGGCTGGAGATGGTATTGCAGATACCTGCTTCTTTTTATCAACAGTCCACCTTTATTCTGCTTTTTGTTAATTAATCCATGATAAAACATTACATATTTTTAGGGAATTGGCCTCAAAACCAGATTCTACAATTGTGGCAAAAACCATGTTAAAAATCAAAGTAGATCTTTCTTAAGTTAATTATTTTAAAGTCTCACTGTACAGTATCAGCAGAACTTCTTCTTCTGTTAAATATTTCCATGAAAAACCAGCATGTGAAAAAAATAGTTTAAAATAAACCATATATTCTTTATCTTCACAGCTGGTGGGAGCAGATGTAATTGTCTATTTTATCTCATCTGATATATATCCTCCGTTTATGTTAGCACTTGGTTTTGAATCCTCTTCTTGTGCTGTTTTCTCAACATCTGTCTTTGTTTTGACACGGTGTCTTCTGTAAAGACGGTAGCCTGAGGATCAATATATGGTTAGTATTAAATAAAAGAATTATAAAAATTGTCTGAAAAACATGTTTGTAGTAACATATATCCATGCAACATTTTTTTTTCTTATAATGCTAAAACATTTCAACACCTCCAGACAGTTCCTTTAAAGCTATGCTTTGATGAAATCCATTTGATTATTTTTATATTTTCTTGTTTTCTCCACACACATGAAAAATTAAACTGGTAATAATAATGATAGTTATAATGCTATAATAGTAAATGACTATACTTTACCTCCTAAAATGAGTAGGGCAAACAACAGCTGGAAAATGCTGTAGACGAGTGGGAAAGTAAACATCAGTTCAAGTTGTTCAGGAGTGAATGAGAGCTGTACTATAGTGGAACATAGCTGAGTGTTTTGCATGCCTGTTTCCAAAGACACTGTACGACATCTAAAGGAAATAACACAAAGATATTTGTCAAATAGCATCCAGTGGGTCCTTATGCTTTTTACTAATCTGGATAAGCAAAAAATGTAATGGATAACTAAGAAAATTGTTTCCTTCAGCTGATGTGGTCAACAAAACACTCCACCTATGGTTGGTACCACCAATTACTGGCAGTTTAGCAGCTGCAAAAGACTATGAGCCACCTTCAAGGCACACATGGGGCACTCGCTGTCTCCGTCTCTTGCAATGATGTTCTAAATTGTAGACTGCTGCATCTACATGAGAAATTTTGCTGCACTTCCAAACCACTTACAAGTTAGGCCTGTTTCTTTTGTTTGAAGTGCAAGACATTGACACACAAAGGGAAAACATATGAAGGATTGGAGGAAGTGCCATAGTCAGAATCTGTAAATAAATGTGCATGAGAAAACTTTTGTCTGCACATAGTATTGCAAAAGACAGGCTTAGTGAATGAATGACCCTGCAACATAACTAATTTTTAGTGAGTATTCTCAGCATCGATTAATCATTAAGTATGACCTTTTTACACAGTAGAATAAAGGCTATGGATTACCTGTGCCAAGACAGACCAGCTATACGAGCCAGAAGGAATCCTAAAGAATAGCCAGCTGCTGGAAATATGGTGCCAATGATCCATAACTTTGGTGAGATAATCCAGGAGCCTTTGTAGAGTATTCCCCCAACCACAGCGATGAGCACAATGAGCACTGCTCCCACAATGGAACCAACCTGTGAAGCAGAAGAAGAGGGACTGAGTCAGAATCACAGAATACTGCACAAATGAGATCTCAAGGAAGTTTAATGGCAACAAACACTGTGTCAAACATGTCTGAGTCACTGAAATGTCTTGTTAAACACAAACCCTAATGTTTACAGCAATACAATTCACAGCAGGCAGAGAGATTAGATAGCTGCCATTTTACCAAACAGGAGATGTACCATGTGCTTCAAGGTGTGACTACAGTTCTAGATCAAGACACAGCTCTAATAGGAATCTATAGCAGATATCTGTAAAACTAGTCTTTTGAAGCCTTGACTATAACTGTACTTAGGGATGGAGATTAAAAATAATTTCACAGGTGGGATATGAGTGAGGAACGGTGCTCACTCCATCATCTCACAACAATAGAAGAATTTCCCCAGAGTTGTTGACAAACTGACAGTCTAGTAGTTAGAATACTGCATTTTCCTCCCCCACTTGGAGAATGACACTCTGAGGCTAAGTACAGTGTGTGCTAATTAGACACCAGATTGCTAGTCTGCCAGTGCTAGGAAATTATTTGCCAAGTGCTGGGGTAAATCTTTAATGGGGCTAAAAATTCATGCTTGAAAACTGGTTATGTGCTTGTATAGCCCTTCAGCATATACCTAAGAACTGCAATTGATCTTATTTCCTGTGACTGAATGTACTGAGATATTTACTGCTGCTTGCTTAAAAAAGTTATAACTCACTCTCTTTTCAATACTCAAGTGGAATGTCTGTCATTATAGCCTATGTTGCAAGGAATCTCAGAGACAGACTTCTTAGTCTAGGCTTAGGAGAAACTATTCCTCAGCTAAAACATGTATTGCCATTGAAGTGGCTTCATCAGTCTTTGGATGAAGCACTTTTAAGAGCACTGAGTGAACAAGTGCTTTTGTTTGGCTGAGCTATTAACCACATGCACCTAGGAAGAAGAAACATGGTCTGACCATGACAAGCTCTTCTTTCACCTGGCACACTGTGTTTGTTCTCTTGTCTGAATTTCTCACTACATAGGCCTTAATCTGACAGCTATGGCTCAATCTTCACTTGATGCATCATTGTCCTACACAAACTCTCAGTGCACTGTTCTGTGGGCTGCTCACCCACTCAGTAAGAAGAAATGACATGGGGCTTTGTTGAGAGATCAAGCAGAGTTTCTTTTCATCTGAGTACAGGTCCATGCTTTTCCCTCAACTCACTGAACAGAAATGGTAAGCTGTGAATGCATTTAAAAATGCAACATGATAAGCTAGCAGTTTAATGAAAATTAATTGACTTTAAAAGACCTTACTTGTGCTCTATGCTGAGCCAATAGCAAAGAAATGATAACAAAATATATGTAAAAACAAGTGACCAGACTAGTTTTCTTTAAGAAAATTTAGATAATATATTTGTTAACTAAGAATGGTTAACAAAGGCCAAGAATTCTCAGCACATCTGAAAAATCTCTTTAAACTTAAACTAAATGCTCCAAATTATTAATTTGCTGTCAACCTAGATGTGGCTGAATTATTATTATTATTTTGATGACAACAGTTTTTGCCCAAATCCCCATATTTTTGATGTATCTGAAACTATCTTGCAAAGATAGCTGTATTTTGTGATTTTTTATTTTTAGGTTTTTGTAAGTGTTGGAATATTTTCTGTTCATTATTTTTTAATAAAAATTGACTTCACACTCAAAAAAATTTGCCCACAAAAAATCAGGAAACTCTCTTAAAAGGAGAAAGGCACTTTGATCCAGAGTGATTTAATTTTTTATTTTTTTGCAGAGTAAAACTGCTTTCCATTGACCTGAATGATTTTCCTTCCAGTCTCTGTTTACATTATATACTGAACTCAATTACTAACATAGTTGCAGCCGAAGACAAAAGTAGGTTCTTTAGATAATGATGGTTTCTAATAATGCATGCAACCCATGCATGTTTGTGCAGGGGGAATGCAATACATTTCCCCAGCACCTCATTTGTTTTCTGCTGAAAACTTTCCAGGTCTTATGAAGTCAGACACTAATACTATGAATAGTAATGTACTGCTTCAGTGGTCCCACTGATTCCATAATTTGTCCATAACTGCTTATGCTTCAGCCTTATACATCGTACCTTAAGTATGATTTTAGCTTTACTAGGCCATTTGTGGTTGACAAATATTCCAAATGAAACAGGAATCACAAGAGCTACCAGAGACAGTCCTGTAAAAAGAGAAGAGAGAAGTTAAGATCCTGTGTGGTGCAGGAGCTCACACAGGACAGACACCATGCCGAGTGGCTGTGGGTCTGGAGCAGCCCTTCAGGGGATGTTTCTGGTGTGCACACCCCGGAGCATGCACACTCTACCCACACCTGCCCATTTGCTTTTCTATAGACTCTTATCTTTGGCAGCCTGTTGAAGTAATTGCCATTCTGCTGAGCTACATGCTCATTCACCTGCGTCAGAAAGGCAGACAGAAATCTGAGTGTGCTAATCATCGCTATCCTGTGATGTGAGTAGCTATATTAAATGTTCATTCTGTCTGCAGGTGTTTCGCTACTGTACCGTATCAGCAACTGGTTTAGAGCTTCTTTTGTTTTGGCCTTCCCCTTCCAGTATTTATTTTGAAAGCACAAGCAATGTATGTGATTTTTTTTTCCCCAAGGACAATGGGAAGTGAAGCCGAAGAATGCGAAAGTGATTCTGCTGGCTTTTAAGATTAGCACAACATGGAACTGCACTTGATAAGCACTAGGGCCACAACTCTGCAAAGCACTGGAGCATGTATTTCTAAACACTTTAACTATTTTCTCTTTGTAGCTGGATGAGATTTTTGACAGGAAGTCAAATGAAGCCAGTCCTGGCAGCGTAGATTGCAGCTTTTCAAAAAGACTCAGCAGTTTAATCGCTTGCTTAATTATCCACATGTGCTTAAGTATTTTGCCAGATTATGGCGTCAGCATTTAGCACTTTGCAGGATTGTGTCTTTAAACTGTTACAAACACTTTCATCCAGGAGAAGCAGCTACTCCTATATGAATTAATCTATATTCTTATCCCACTACCACATAGATCTCAAAACCATTTAAAAAGAAAAAAGCATGCAATCTTGTCATAATTATCTGTATAATATTTATAATGGCTTCAAGTCCTTCCTTGGCAGAGCTGTGGTTGATGTGATTTTCGGTACCTAATGCTCATGGAGGTTATTAAAAAGTAGACAGAGGAATATTTTTAAAAACCTGAGGTAATTTCTTTGTGACTGCAGGATGATGGTATAGAGGTGGTTGTCACTGAAGGGCTGATAGACAGAAGGGAAAGCGCTGTTTCACTGGACTCACCAATACTGTCATAGGGGAGTACAATTGCATCAGAATCAGTCCACATCTTGGTGTAAATAAAGAGACAAAGTGGCATCATTCCCATTGCAAGCAGCGTGGAGCAAGTTGTCATGCTGATGCTGCAAAGGAATTGGTTACAGTGACAGTTCATCTCATGCTAGCCCATAGTCTTTCTCATTTTCTTATTATCATTTCACACCTTGTAAAAGGTTGTGCAAGAAATGTTGCTGGCTACAGACAATTTATCCTGTTTATCAGGCTAGAGAAAAGCTAAATGAAATGAATGGCTTCTGCTGAAAAGAACATGAAAAGAAATATCAAGAAATAAGAAATATCATGGTGTTCTGCAGCCACAGAACCATAACTTTTGGAACAAAGGAGGCAGTCAGACAGGTGGGCAGCTGGAAGGTCTGTTGGCAAGTCTGCCTCCATGCTGCCTGTCTGTGGTTTCAGAGAGGATGGATGACAAACAGGGGCAGAGATGGACATCAAATGGAGCTTACCATTATACCAGCAGTTCTAGAGTGTTAAAATTTCACTCTGAACTTGACAGCATAGAAATCCATTTCATTATTCAGGATATGTGATATAATAAAATTCCCTTTTCTGACTTGTTTTGCTCTAGGCCAAAAAATAGGTGTTAAGAATTGCTCAGTGAGGCTTAGCATAAGCATTGTTGCTGCATCTTGCAAAGATGTTTCTGTTTTCTGTTGTACAAAAAGATGCATTCTGCTATAGGAATGAAGAAATAGGAAAAGGCAAGGCATCTAAAATAAGGAGGAAACTCTCAGAACTGGAATACAATGGATAAAATTATGCACAGAAATCTCATTTTTCTGGTATAAAAAATACTGAGAGAGGGCTCTAGTTATGAGATTTTTGAAGCATTCTTCTGAGCCTCACTTCTGATTTCTCTTTTTTGTTTCTTGTCCTCAGAAAAGGGACTACTGATCCTGGTCCAGACTGAGCAGATCCAGAGAAATCTAGAAAAATTAATGCAGAAACCACAGGAATATCTGCATTAATTTTGGTTCCTGTCACTCTGTACTTTAGAATCATTGAAGAGGATTTTGCAGGAGCCTCTGGCAAAAGAGTTCCTGGAGAAGTCTCCTACAGAGAAAAAGAGTCATGGGCTACAAAGAAGGTTTGATGAAATCCCAAATGGATAAAATCCCTTATGTTTTCTACCTCTGTATTTCCTGTATCTTTATACTGTCCCTGAATGTACCTTCTTCTCCAAAGTCTGGCCAGCCTCTAAACTCAGTCCCTGTTTCCACAGAAGCTGTTTTAGTGAAACATCAAGAGATGTCTCCATGGGGAAGCATTAGATGGTATCAGCTAGGTTTGGTTTACTAAGAAATATATGAAATCATACTTCACCTGACTGCGATTATAATGGTAATTATAAAACTAATTCCTTCTCTAACTTGTGGTCTATTTGCACAGAGAGGTTTTGAAGCAGAACTATAGACAATGACCATGGATTGTAATGTATTATCCTAAAGTATTACAGTTAAAACCAAAACATTGTCTGGTATGATTGGCAGGTTTCTATAATACTGTGGTGGTTCCAGAAACCATCCACACAACTTCTAATCTAATTCTTCTGTTGAGAAGATGCTTGCCTTTACAATCTACTGAATCTCCTGTATCATGTGGTCCTTGTATCTTTGTCTCAAAGGTACTGACCAAAAGCTTTGACTTAAGGTAGAGGTCTTTACCTGAAAAACAACCTTTTAAAGGCATTTTAAATTAACTTCACCCTCTGTCAGCATCATGGGATAGAAATCCTATCCATGTTTATAACATTATAAATTTGGATTTTTATCTCTGATTTCAGTGGAGTAACTCTGAACATATATAGCTGACCACGCACAGTTTAACTTAGTTTATTCTTCCAGGAAGAGATTAGAACAGAATTTCTGCCTTGTACTCAATATCTTTCCATCTTTGTTTCTTAGACCTGTTTTAATTGAAATTAAGGACCTTACAGTTCTTATTATCATAGATCTTTCCTCTACAATGAGGAAGTCAATGATTAGCAGAGCTGACCTCATTCATAATTTGTAAGCTGTTTTACATTAACACCTGTATGTGACAGAAAAGTTCACCGTTTTCAAAGGATGGAAAAAATGTATTAAAGCTACAAATGTTAACGTTCTTAGACTATTTACCCTAGTTCCACATCTTTCTTGCTACTACTGTTTTTTTCCATTTCTAGTTAGGACTGGCATATGATAAATTGGCTGAACGCTCCAATTAATTTTACTCTGTAGGAAAGAGAGAAATTATCCTGTTTATTTTAGACCAAAGTAATCAGGACATAAAAATAAAAAGATGGCTTATTTTTAAAGGCTCTTAATGAATCCCCCATGGAATTTGCATCAAGAGTAGGGTTCACTTCTCCTGCGTGTTTGATGTCCTAGGCCATGTCAGGTGCCTTACACATCTGAGTTCACAGTATTTTGTCACTGAGACCATCACAGTGCCACAAAGGAGGGTTTCCATTCCTCCCAATGTGCAGGGCTGCCTTAAGCAGTGTTTTATAAACCACTATTATTATTTACAGTATTTATTTACAGTAGTGTAAAATATTCCCTCAGTTTGAAGACTTTGCAATAAGGTTCCAGGAGCCGAAAGAATTATCCCAAGTGATATTCATTAGAACTATTTTCCAAAGAGAAAATAAATACCCGTCTTTTTATTGTATGGAACACAAGAGGAGGGAAAATATTTTTTTTCCACAGGAGCTCTTTTTCGAGAAACATTACTTCAAGGAAAGTTGTATAGCCACTGTTTTGTACAGAGGATTCTCATCCTAAATTCCCATGTGTTTTTTAATTTTTTTACTATTCAAGATCTTGGAAAAAAAGAAGTAATTTTAACTTGGCAAAGTTTTCATAATGTATGTTATCTTAATTATTTTCATAGATGATATTTGCTCCAGGATCTGAAGTTTTACAACAAAGATATTTTCTAATATACACAATTCTGTTGTAATATTTTCCTCATGAATTCCCAATGAACCAAGGACATTTGTTATTCTACTTATATTTACTGCAATTTCAGTAGCTAACCATCTCTACCAAGGAGAAACCACCATGCCTGTGCCAGGAAGCTAAGAAAAACATCAGGCAGATCAGACAGTCCTTTTCAATGTAAAATTTACAATGTAAAGAGCCACATGAAGTACTTAGAGTGGCTACTCTTACCTTAGGTCCATGTCTCCATCCACCCAGTAGGCGATGACATTTGAGGCTGTGCCCCCTGGGCAGCATCCCATGATCATCACCACAACAGCTTGAATAGGAAGGATGTTAAAGGCCAAAGAGAGCAAGAAGGCTGTGAGAGGCATAATTCCAAACTGGCAAAGGAAACCCACAAATATACCCCATGGTCTTTTTATGTGGCAAAAGAAATTCTTAAGTTCCACATTGCAGCCCATGGAGAACATCACCAAAGCCAGCATGACTGTTAGAACAGTACTTAAAATTACGCTCAATGTTCGATTAAAATTATCTTCTGGTAATACGCAAGATGTACCATCACAAATAGTAGCATTTGCTGGACAAACCGTGGAGTTTTCTGCCAAAGAACCAGCATTCAATTGCTGGGAAAGAAAGTTTGTCTGCATTTTGAAATACTGCTCACTACTGAACTGCTCACTACATCCGTGGTAAACTTTCAAGCCTGTGTAAACGATTGTTTGTCAGTGACTTCTTTTAAATGATCCAGGAAGCAATAAAGTGCAATAAATGCTGGAAAACTCTTACTGTTCTTGAAGGGTTTGGCTCAGTGCTGATTCATATAGTTATAAAAGTTGTACTTGCTTGGTACAGTGACAATTAATCATTTATTCATATGATAATGAGGAATCCCATATCAAGAGAATAGCTGTGTTAATATTTAAGGGTGTAAAGGAGGCTTGTAGTGCTGCCAAGCCCATGAAATGAGAATCACAGGAGGAAGAGAAAGTTTAAACTTCATTCTTTGAATTTCTTGCGTGCCTTCGGGAGACCTGCTCATGCATGCAGTGTTGCATACTGACCCTGGCAGTACAGGGGTCTGTGTGGTGAGTAACTGAAACACAAGAAACCACAAGCAGAAGTCCTGAGATATGATTTGAAGCTGCAACTCTTGCTAATGGGTGCAACATTCAGCACAACACACAGGCTCATTTGAAAGACGTGGAATCTTTGTTTCTTGCAGCATGGAGATTCAGCAACCTCCTGGCACCTTCTTCCAGGCGCAGCTGGTGCAGTCACACTTCGATTCAGCTTGGAGTGGAAGTGGTGGACAGCGAGAGGAGAGTGGGGTGGCAAGGGCAGGAAGGAGATATATTCTCTGAGTCAGGAGTGGAGAGCAGAAAGCAGGGCAGCGAGGCTGCCACAACTGTGGAGCCATGGCACCCAGTAAGTTGACCACGCCCCCTTCCCTGCCACAACACGCTCAGCATGCACACCAGGATGCAGGTCACCTATTTTTGACAGGTGCAGCACAAAGGTGAGGAGACAGGTTTCTTGTGCCTGGATTTGGTATGGCTTGATGTGCCCTGTCATCCCCTGAAGCAGTGCTGGAGCCAGCTAGCTCTCCCACAGCCCCGCACCAGAGTGGGACACACCCCAGGAGCAGGATGACCTGAGGTGCGGCTTAGAGCGGATGCTCTATGGCACTGCTGTAGGTGCTGTCAGGTGCAGGGTGGACACAAGGACAAGGAGAAGGCCTTTTGTCTGGGTTCCAAGGAAGTTTCATTCCCACGGAGGGTCCAGGGACAAAACACAAAGGATACAAGGGCACCACAACTTATATAGAGGGGAAGGATCAAGGGGTGGGTACAAAAGATGAACCAATAAGAGATGCCTTGGGGAGGAGCACAGAGCAGGGTCACACAATACATAAACCAATGGGGATGACAAGGGGAGGAGAGTGGGTCACATGGGTCAATGGGGCCTCCAGGGTTAGGGGAATTCCAAAGGAGTGGTTCAGGTAGGAGGCTGGTCTAAGGACAGATTGACAACTGAGGGAAGGAGGGACAAGGAACATCAACATAAGGGACAACAGAATAAACCATTAAAAGGAAATACACAGAAATACACCACAACAATCCCCATGGCTCAAAAGCAATCCCAAATTTTGAAAAGCTTTTAAAGGTTTACTCCTTGGGCTTCCTTGAAAATCTGGAAATTTGGATGGTTTTCAGAGGAAGAATGTTAATGGTTCTTTACCTGTGCCCAAGTTTTGTGGCAGAAGTATCTTCAAGTGTAGATCTTAGACTAAAATCAAGTCTGACATGTAAAGTGCAGTTAATGTCCCCCCAATAATCTTTATTTTTCAAAACAGAAGTATTTGTAACTAGGGCAATGAGCTAAGCCATAATTATCTTCAGCAAGCAAGACTCTTACTAGAAGTCTCAGCACTTTGTGCCTAACATCAGTGTGTGAAATGATAGGAGTTGCTTTTTTTTTTTTTTTTTTTTTCCACTTTAAACCTTGAATTGTGTAGGGGGAGCTGACTGCATTAGAAAGGATTTCCCAGCATGCTCAGATGGCACCTGTTTCTTTACAAAGGGGTCAGCTAAATGGCTGTATCTCCTAAGTCACTGTTGGGTGCCTGATGGGATAATGTCAGACTAGCTTTATCTTCCCAGGCAGCTGGCAACTCCTACTCTGTGATTAGTGCCACATCTGAGTGACTAGGATATGTCTAACAGAACAACAGGTAAGGTAATAAGTAGATGAAAGGAAGAGAAAGCCGCAAGATCTCAGTTTGGCAGAAAAACTTATTCTCCTTTTTATGTTTGATTTCAAACAGAATGTTTAAGAGCTTTTACTTTTCGATCCAAATATTTTAAAGGGCTAGTAAGGTTTTTAAAGCCATATTAATAATGCTGTATTAATATTTTCTATAAAACTTCTATCAGAGTCTTGATTTGCACTTGAACTTGCTTTTTGTTGGAATGAAAATTTTTTACAAGTGTCTTGAAATCTCCAGCAAACCTTGGGGCTGGGGGCAACTTTCCTAGTCCTGTAAATGTCTGGTATGCTGTGGAAACCCAGAGTGAGTAGCTTGGGAGAGGAAGTGAGGTTAGAGTAGCTGTTTCTCAGCAGAGCCTCATGCAGGGGCTTACTTTTACCTCCTCTCTCCTTGCACACTTTTTGTCTGGGCAGTGTTGGGGTGATTGATGCTGTATCCCCACAAACAGCACAGATGAAATCTCACTGGTTTGGGTCTCCAGCCTCTGCTAAAGGACTAGACAGTCCAGCTGTCATTTGGAGTTTGATTTCTGGAAACAGTGTGTAGGAGGAGACCTTCATGCTTAGGTTTTGTGCCTAGCTAAGGACACATAGCGCATCAGCTACTCACCTGTGTGGCCTTGTGGAGCATCAAGTTGTGTAAAATTAACCTGTGTTTAACTGCTAGCTTTGCCTTTGTTTTTTCCCCTCTATTTTAAAAGGGATGATTGTGAGTCATTATTTCAGCAGCTAGCTGTACATAACCTTAGATCACAAAAATGCTGTCTGGAAATAGAAGAGTGCCCTTCTTAATTCAACTTATTATTAGGCTGACACAGCCACAATTTAGCACAGATGGGAATATCTGTATCAAGAAGTCCTTGTATGTTAGGGAATTAAAACCTTATCCAAGACATTGAAATATTTACAGGCACAGTTAAAAAACTTGGCATGTTGCAGGAGGTATAGTATTATTGAGTAGGCAGGTGGGTCTCTCAGGAGTGCTGGATTTCAAACATTCCTCTAAGTTTGTTTTGCTTTTTAAAATGTGCTTTCGGGATTTAATCCGTTTGCATGGATTAAATCCAGGCTAGCAGGAGACATCCTCAAAGAAAGCAGCGATTCAGAGATGGTTTTCAGAGATACTTAGCTGTATGCCTGCTGTTTCACTGTCTGTTTTCCACTCAAGTTATGGTGCTTAACTGGTAAGATGGACTATGTACTGCTCTGTGAACCCAGTTGGCATCTTTTGCCTGTACATGTTGCACATGTTAGTCAGGGGGATTTTAAGCATTTGCCAATGACAGAGAAGGAAGGAGCAGTGTGGTGAACTTCGTGGCATTTTGGAGATGATTAACATACTCAGGCCGATTCTTGACACTGTCAGTGTACATCCAAAATGAGAAAAAAAACAATGCTTAAATAGAGAAATACCAAACTAAATGTATATTTGCATCTCAAACAGAAATACTCTGATTTGTCTTGAATTTTTGCAGTGATGAGGGTACCAGCTTATTCAAGTGAGTTCCATGTCACTTCAGCAAACAAATCCAGCCAGGTAGAACTTGTAAGGATCTGTCCCTGTGCTGACAATTAGATAATTGATTTATCCATTAACTCAGGCAGTTATAAAACAAGAATAGCAGTAAGTGCATACAGAAGCCTGCATTGGGAGAGACTGTTTAACTGTCTTTTATGGCTGTTTGGTGCTTATTTTGGTGATGTTTCTCTTAATGAGACTTATGAATCTTCCCTGTCTGCTTGATTCAGACTCTGAGATGCTTCTTAGTATATTTATGTCTTGGCTAGAAGAATCTTTTCTTTCAGATAATTGATTACATAAAGTCAATTACCTGCTTTTTGCCACCATCTTTAAAAGAGAGACAGCAGCTGTACCTAGTATTGCTGACCTTGTTTATAACATTAAACTTTAGTATAACTATAGACGGAAGATTTTGTTTCTTTTTTAAAAGTTTTACTATGTTGGAAGCTTATAGAAGGCAGTAAGAAAAAAAATCTCAAGGCAATAGCAGGAGAGAAACTGATGACATTAAAATAGATCTAGGTAGGGATAGCTTCCTATCAAAGTCATCTGCAAAGCTAATTTACAGAATCTTTACATTTACATTTCACTGACTGGTGCAGACATCTGGACTCTGCCTGTTAAACTCTTGAACTGAGTTTCAAATGACACATTGGGGGCACAGGTGTTGAACTCAGCTGGGAAAAAAAGCCTGATGTGTTACATACTTGGATTACAGGCACACTTAGCTGGCTGATGTATGTATTCTGAGAGATGCACCTTACAATCATGGCTGGATTCCTGCATAGAATAAGTGATTGGCTGGAGGGATAGGGTTCTGCTATGATTTGTCAGAACTGTAATTATTGTTCAAGGAAAATCCATATCAAGGAATCTCCATGTTCAGGAGAAATCCATAGTGCTTTTGCATTTTCTGATACAATTCAGACTTCCCAATCCAAATCATGTTTTAGTGTACCCATCTTAAGTAGCCAAATGTGAGTGTTTTCAGTAGAACAAAAAAAGTGCATAGTTACTACGCAAATGCATGGAAGAGAATGCAAAGGCCATAGACTTCAAAGAATTTTGCTCTTTTCTGATAGGTGTATGAGGGGAAATCTGCATTTCACATGCTCAGCAAGGACTGTCTGCTGTGAGACAAGCAGCAGAAATCTGAAAAAAAGCATAAGATAGCCTTTTGACTACCCAACTGTAAGAGTGACTTCTGACATTGATTAAAAAAGCTGAAAGTTAGATAGTTTCATAATGAATCAAAGAAATGAGTCATGCTACCAGCTATAAAAGTGTAAGTTTTTGAATGATTCTATTGGATTGGGATTCCTAAATAAAAGCATGTTTTCATGTTCCTCAACAAAGACT